GAATTACTAATGCCTGTTGATCATACTTTAAAAATAGCTGTTACGGCCCTCCCTGGTGGCGCAGCGGGTTAAAGCACAGCACTGAGAAGCTAAAGCCACTTCCGCATGAGTTCGATTCCCGCCTGCCCCGGAGGTGACCACATGGCGTGGCAGACCTCTCCTGACCCGCCCACTGCTCCCCTCAGCAGTGTGCTTCGTCGATCTGCCTGTTCTGCTCCCCATTCTGTCTCTGGTTAAGACTCTCGCTGCCCCTGAGCCTCTGGCCTGTACCCCAGTTATGTATGCACAAATAAATAAATCTTAAAAAAATAGCTGTTATGGTGAAATGTCACTTTTGAACAGGCTACTGTGAATTCATATATATTGAAAGAAGTAGCATTGTCATTCTATTATAATCTCCTTGTTGAAGTTTTCCAGTTTTTTTTTTCTTTTTTTTTTTAGGATTATTTATTTACGCATACAGAACTGGGGTACAGGCCAGAGGTGCAGAGGGTGAGAGGCTTCACCAAAGACAGAGTGAGGAGCAGAACAGGCAGATCAATGACGCACACAGCTGAGGAGAGCAGCGGGCCAGACAGGAGAGGTCTGCTGCGTCATGTGGATCACCTCTGGGGCCAGGGATTGAATGGCACTGAAGCGGCTGCCACTAGCTTGTAATAATGTGCTCTCACCCACTCTCACCACCAGGGAGGGCCCTGTTTTCCAATTTCTTACCAATGTGTTTGGCTAGGTTACTATACATACCCGGTCAGCAGCAGCAATTTTTACCTGCAGTTCTTATGAATCTAGATTTTTGATGGGCAAAGAGCATATATTTAAGAAAGGAGGCTAAAGTGGATGGTACAAAAAAGATGGAAGAAATAAAATAATATAAAATCATTTGTGTATTCATGTCACAAGTCACTTCCAAAGCTACTCCAACCAGTTTCTAAAATCAAATAGAGTAGAAGGGATAGCACATCTATTCTGTTATTAGATTAGGTTATGCATGGAAAGGTTTTATGACTTTGTCTCATGACAAACCATACTATTTGTATACAAAGAATCCTCTTCTCTCTAGTTAAGGCCTACTTTTGCATCAGCATTAATTACAACGCCTATGTAAATGGTCTTTCATGAAGTCAAGACTGACACACAAGGAATTTTCTTTTGAGGACTGTTGTAGTAAAATATTTCTCTTTCAATGACATGTCTGAAATAATAAGACTTAGATATCTTTACAAAGCAAATATTCATTTATATTATGTCATATTATAGATAGCCAAATTTGCAGTTTGACTTCAAGGACAGCATAATGAAAGGAAATTAATCAAGTTTCTGTTAATAGAAATAGATTCTCCTACAAAGTAATAGATTAGATTAGAAGAGAAAAGTGCTCCAAAGGAAAATAACTTCTTTTCAAAACAACAAATCAAATAAATGAGTTTCAATGTATTTGTTCATAACAGACTGCTCATTGATCAGCATATACTTTGCCAAACACTTTTTTGTGTAGAAAGGAAGGTTTCACTATTCTTGCTACATACTCCACTGAGTAAATCCAAGTGTGAAACACTTTGAAGTCAGCAGGCATTCTGTGCTTCCAATAATTCTGAAGGGATTTAGCAGCCAGAAAGGATTAAAACTTGGGAAGAAGGAGGGCAAAATGCAGCTCAACCTTCACTGTGAGTAAAAGAAAACATGGTGAGGAGAGAGAAGTGAGACTTGACTTAGATTCAACAATTGAAACAGTGGTAAATCTAGTTTATTTAGAAATAATGAGAAAGGGGACAGACTTATAATCAATGTAAAAAAAATCTTTAAAATCATTATTGAATAACTGTGAACTTGGGTGCTTTGAAAAAGTATTTACATTTTTTAAAAAGATTTATTTATTTATGCTTACAGAACTGGGGTACAAGCCAGAGGTATGTTGGGTGAGAGGATTCACCAGAGACAGAGTGGGGAACAGAATAGGCAGATCTACTGAAATACACTGCTGAGGGGAGCAGCGGTAGGGTCAGGAGAGGTCTGCCATGCCATATGTCACATATATCAGCTCCCTGGCTGGGGATGGAACTCATGTTGCAGTGGCTTCTGAGAGCTTCATAGCGTAGTGTTTTAACCCATTGTGCCACCAGGGAGAGCCTTGTATTTTTCTTTTTTTTTTTTCTTTTTTTTTAATTGAAGTAATATTGGTTTACAATACCACATATGATTTAGGGGAATAAGTTCAAGCCTCAGATGTGTATTACCACAGCACTGTGACCACCAAATCACCTACGTCCTCCATCATAAACCATTATGAGATCTCCCTCTTAAGACTTGTTTTGGTTTCTTTTAGTCAGTTCCTTAGTTTTGTGTCTCTGTATTCCATGTGTGGTGCAAAATTGTGCAGTGTTCATCTTTAGCCTTCTAATTTATGAAAAAAATGTTTTTAAGCCAAGTGTTTTTAACCCAAATTCATCTGATATTTGATGTTCTAACTCAAGACAACTTCCCTCTTGTCCTACTTAGGTAATGCACTAGCCTCCTAATTGAGCTCTATGTTTTTGCCCCAGTCCTCCTGAAGGAGCTTTTTGAGAGGTGGATAATGTCCTGCTCTGTGCCATGACTTAACCATACTTGAGCTTATTGACAATAAAAGCTCAAGTCTTGAAAATGGTCTACAAAGTCCCATCTGCTTCTCTAACCTCATCTGCTACTGCCTTCCTGTCTTGTAGTCAACCTCAGTCACGCTGCCTTCTTGCTGTACACTGGGCATAATTCCTCTCAAGGATTTGAAGTTGATTCATCTACCTGGCAAATTCTCTCTCACGTACCAGAATGGCTCACACTCTTACTCTCCACAGGTCTATGTTAGTCCATCACCTTCAACCTGACCTTTCCTTCCCTACTTAACACAAATGCAAACTCTCCCTACCTAAAACACTCTCACATACTTCCCTATTTAATTTTCATTTATCACCTTCTTACATGTTAATGTTTCATTTATTTGGTTTTCCTTTATCTTTTTTCAGAAGAAGGGAAGCTCTATGAAAATATTTTGGGCCTGTTTGTTCACTAGATATCCCCAGTACTTAAAACAAGGTCTGAATCAGCAGCTGCTTAGTTAATACAAGCAAATGTAATTTGTGTTGAAAAAGGACCATTTTCAGTATAGGTTTATGTACGTCAGTGCTCTGTGACTTTTTTTATATGGACATGAAAGCTTTGCTTTTGAACTTCTAGTGTGGTTTTTCAGATACGGTTGGACTTTTAATAAAAACTTTCATCAGATGAGAAATCGAAAAACCAAAAATTCTTTGGGCTTTATCTAACATTGTGAACATTTCTTTTCTCAAAGACAAAGTAGTTGTTCCTTTTTGGAACTTTGCCAAAATTCATGGCTAACTGCTTCCTTTGTATATTCTAAGAAATTATAATTCAATTATTATATTTTTATAAAAATATAAAAACTGCAAGTATGTTAAATATAAGTAACAATTCAAGAGCATGCAAATTTCATTGACAGTATTTATACACAGAAGACAGGTAGCAGTCTCACAGAAGTGCTTGAAATTCTATCACTGGTTCTCTCACAGGGATTCCACTGTCTATTGACATTAACATAAGAAAAGTAACCTATATGCAGAAAGAAGGTTGTATTCACATTAACATTCATGAAGGCTGAGCAGCTGAAGCCCTACACATCAAGTAGGGAATTTATCTTTTGTCTACTGATGAGAAAATGTCTCAGTGATAAATGGTAACAGACAGGGGTGTCACAAGGGCAGCAGCACACAAAACAGATCAGACAAATTAAAAAAAAAATTTAAGTCTTTTGCAGTTTTTTTTTTCTTGGTTGACTTGTGGAGAACATGCCTTTCTAAAGGAAAAACACTTCAATGCTGAATTCTTAACCTTTACTGAGACACTTACAGAAAATAAACAAATAAAAACAAAAACAAAGAAATCTCACATGCTTTGAAATAATTTAAAAGTTTCAAAGGCTGAGAATTCAGAAATTCTGAAAAGGAGTACTCTGCAATTTGGAAAACTTATCTACACCAATCCTGTTTGGCTCTAAAATGTATGTTGTCAAGAGAGTAAGGCCGTCAACGCGCAAAACTTACTTCTGGGAAACATTAGGCATGAAATCGTTTTACATCGATGTACGTAAAATTAAGCCCATCAGTATACTCATTCAGTAAATTTGTGAGAAAGAATATATATGATGAAATGCGTCTGTTATTTAACAAACGAATGGGTCATTGCCCCCAAAAGTGTCTACCAATAACTTTCAGTTAAATTTGAAAGCAAAACAAGTTAAATTACAATTTGCAGAGAGTCCTGACTACTGGAGAATAGGAAGCCCAGAGCCAGCTCCATGGGCAGATCAATCAGTATTTCCCGTCGCCTGCCTCTAGGTGGCTCACTTAATCACCTAAAATGACAAAGGTTGGAAACAACGTCCTCCTCCTCCCAAGGGTTTCTTTCTAGTATGTTGCCTCTTCTGTAGAATTCTAGAGGCGCCAGCATGAAAAGACGGATAAGTATAATACAATTTTCTAAAATATAGATGTCTACACCGTGCTTTGGGGCTTGCTTTGTCCACTGTCCGCAAGCCTCCAGATGCAGAACAAGAAGAGATGCACAACAATCCTCTACATATCCTTTGCACCTCCTCTCTTAGGTATTTTTCTCTTGTCAGCTCCGCTAGGTAGACGAAGGACAAAGGCACAGCCAGTAGGTCGCGCCGGGTCGCCGGGTTAGCTCGCAGACTTTGTCCGCGGAGTTCCAGGACGGTGTAGAGGGGCGGGGCCGGAGGGGCGGAGTCAAGGCGGGGCTGGAACCCTCCTCCCCTCCCGCCCATTCACTGCCAGAGTCCCTGCGCATGCGCGCCGGGCGTAGGCTTGTGGTTGGGGAAACCCGCTTCGGGTTAGCCCTCGCGCCCCCACCCACCTCCTCCTCCCCCGCCCTTTCCCGCCTCCGCCCTCTTGACGCGATGACGCATGGCAGGTTTGCGGACGTGGCGGCGGCGCACAGTGCGGAAGGCGGAGACGTTGGCGGAGTCGGCTGTGGTGGCAGCGACAGACGGGGGCAATCAGAAACCCGAGGCTTGGCCATGAACTTGCCTGGGACGGCGGCGGACTTGACAGCCGTTTCCTTGTTGCATTGCTCCTGCTAACGGAACAGGTAAATATGGCGACGAGAGGTGAAGGAAGGGGGGGCCCTGTCGGGCTGGCGGGGCTGGGCCCGGACAGTGCGAAGCTGTGGTGGCTCGGAATCGCCCGCCGCAGGTGTGAAGGGGCCGTCGCGCGTGGGGATGTGACCTCGGCCCGCCTGGGGAGACTCTCGAGGGAGGGGAGCGCTGCATACCTCAAACCATCCTCCCCGAACCCCCTCCTAACTCTGTCGGGGAAACTGAGGCTTAGGGAAGACTCTTTCCTGTCCGTTTCCCGGCGCAAGGCATTTCTCATCCTAACATACTACATACTTTTGTTCCATAACTTTGTGTTCAGTATCCGCTGGTGGCCATTCGTATGGTTCCAGTGCGATGATATGACATAAATGTCTGAGATATACTCTCTGGGAATAACAGGGAAAGAAAAAAAAAATCTCAGGAGTGAAAAGGAAAAGAAGGCTTTAAAAACTCAGTTGGCCCTGGGGGATACTCCTGTGTGTTACCGTCTCTGGGCTGAACTACCTAGCTCCCTGTCACTCGGTGCTCTCTTCTTAATGTCAAAGGGAAGCACCTAGCAGCAAGTATGCTATAAGGTGTTTGTTAAACCATTTTTTACTGACTAAGCTGATGACTGCTTTAACATCGTATCCATTGGTACTTCTTAGTTCCGTGTAATTCTGGTAGCTTGGTGGCTTGAGTTTTCTGACAGGGGTTTCGTACTTTTATCAAAGGGCGAGACAAGTTGATCCAGTTGGCTTGAGTACTGTGTACTTTCTAATCTCTGTATTGTTGACTCAATTAATTATCTGCCTGACCAGAGTCTAGCTGTTTACTTCTGTTAGAGAGACAACTAATTCTTGGTTATTGTGAAACAGAATCCCAATTTGTGTTCTTCCTGATTTCATTTCAAAAGGGAGTGAAGAAATCGTGAAACAGAAAAAGTTGGTATAAATATATTAAATAGCTTTGGGGCATTGCTTAGTGGATTTCAGTTAGCTGTAGGATATGTCAGTTTGGTGTTATAAGAGCAAAGTCATCAGGGAGCAAAAGTCTAAAGGAGGCATAACTGAGTGTAAGTTACTGTGTATTAAGTGATTCTTACTCTTTTTAAAAACATGAACCCTTCCTGAGAATTTAGGAACAGTACTCTTCCCCAGAGTAACTTGCGTAGTATTAGATGTTGCCTACAAACCCACAGGATTCAGACATTCCCTAGATTGAAGATGTTGGATAGAAAAGATTTGGTCAAATAAGTGGAATATACAACTTAACCTATTTTAGGAAGAGAGATATTCTTTCAATTTTTAAAATAATTAAATAAAAACAAAGCATCTTTATTATGATACTAAAACACATTTAATCTCTATGAGCTTATTAAGAATGGTCACTTGTTAACATTCCTTGAAGGAATAGGGGAGACCACATGATTTCAAAAATTGGTATAAAATATAAATAGCTTTCTTTAATTTGGTTGCTGTCAAGTTAGGAATCCCAGTTCATGGCAATAATGTAACACCTGGAAAATAGGTGAAATAATTTAATATATGACTACTTACCTATATTAGCTGAATAGAAACCATTGAGTTTTTAAAGCATTTGTGTTGTTGCAGAGCAGGGTCAAAAATTGGTTTTCATGGCTTGCGTTCAATTGTAGCTAGAAAAATTCTTAGGTATGTGCCATATAAAGTGTATAATCTTGTCATCTAAATTACAAATTCATACCTTTGGAATTCAGCTTTATTGGATAGTTTTTGTCACTTTGTACTTACCTGTAGTCATCAAAATGGAACTAAACCCTTTGAGATGACATTGTGTCTTTGAATTCAGTGACATAACATTTTCATGGTTTTCTCCTCTCAACACTCTTTTTCCATACTTCCTTTAAAGGTTATTTTCCTTTACGCATTCTTTTTTTTCTTTATTTAAAGATTTATTTATTCATATAGAACTGGGGTACAGGCCAGAGATGTGGAGGGTGAGAGGATTCACCAGGGACAAAGTGGGGAGCAGAACAGTCAGATCGACAAAGTGCACTGCTGAGGGGAGCAGCGGGCGGGTAAGGAGAGGCCTGCCTTGCCATATGGTCACCTCCGGGGCAAGCGGGGATTGAACTCATGTGGAGGTGGCTTTAGCTTCTCAGTGCTGTGCTTTAACCCGCTGCGCCACCAGGGAGGGCCCCTTTACGCATTCTTAAAGGCTCATTCTTGGAGACTTTTCTCTCTACTTCCTCTTCAGCATCTGCACACACAGCTTCACTTTTTACCCATGTATAGATGAGTCATGAATAGATCTCTGATCCACCCTTTCTGAATTTGACTATATAGTTCACTTGGCTACTTGCCATTCCTTTTGACTGGCTTAGAGGAATTTATAATCATAGTGTGTCCCCATCTTCCCAAAGTTCTTACAGTTTTCCATAATTTAGAAAATGGTACCACCATTACCCAGTGATGCAAATCAGAAATTTTGATGTGTGATCCTTAACAACTTCCCTCTCTTAATATCTGAGCCACACTATTAATTCCCAAGTATTTTATTGCCACAATGTCTCTTACTGTTTCTTTCTTTCACAAAGTAACTGAAAGTAGTCTGCCATTTTTTGTGTGAACAATATGAAGTCAAAACTGAATGTACAATTAGTCTTTACATTCTTTTTTTTTTTTTTTTTTAACGATTTATCTATTTGTGCATACTGAACTGGGGTACAGGCCAGAGGTGCAGGGGTGGTGAGAGGATTCACTAGTGACAGTGGGGAGAACAGGCAGATCTTCAAAGTACACTGAGGGGAGCAGCAGGCGGGTCAGGAGATATCTGCCTCCCCATGTGGATCACCTCTGGGGCAGGCAGGGATTGAACTCATGTGGAAGTGGCGCTAGCTTCTTAGTGCTGTGCTTTAACCCGCTGCGCCAACGGGGAGGGCCCCAGTCAGCATTCTTGTATTACTTTATAATGAGTAGATCTATTTGATTAAGGTGAGTTAAGAGTGAGTATGCAAATAAACAAATGTTAGTTGTTTTTATTTAATTAGGTCAAATCTCAGTCTCACAGTATTTTTTTCTGAAGTAAAAGTCACATGAAACCTGTTCACAGTTTTTATGAAACAATTTGAGTTTGATAAGGGCTTTGAAAAAAATTCCTGGTCAGGAGGAAAATCATGACCTCTCTATTACTAATTGTAAACCCTGAAGTTAATATAATCCAAGGAGGTAGAAAGTACAAAAGATACTTCAATCCCATATGGATTTAAATGTAGAACAAACCAGAAAGTCTTGGGTTTTTTAATTACTGTGTGTAGATATAAACCATATACTTTAATTCCATCTGAACTAGAAATTGTTAAGTTTGCCCTTGTTAATAACACTTCAGGTGTGGTAATACACACCTGAAGAGATGTGGACCTATTTCCCTAAATCATATACAGTGTTGTAAAGCTATTTTATTGCCCAAAAAAAGTTAAAGAAAAAAAAAAGGTAATCGCGCCCATGTTTGTGATACATGGTACATGGTCAGTAAGAATGGATCACTTCTTCCCAATACATTATCTACATAGCCAGATATTTTCATTGTATTTCAACAGCAGTAAAACGTCAATCTAAATTTTTAAATAACTAAAACTGTGATTAACAAAAAAGATAAAATATCCTGAATGTCAGAGGCATGTGGCTCAATCAGATGTTTCAGCTACATTCCAAAGTTTTCTCTGCCTTCTTCCCCCCCTAGATTTTGGCATTATGGCTGGGAGGCATCAGAGTCGTTTTCCTCTTCCAGGAGTTCACTCAGGTGGCCAAGTCCATGCATTTGGAAATTGTACGGACAGTGATGTGTTGGAGGAGGATGCTGAGGTTTATGAACTTCGGTCCAGAGGAAAAGAGAAAATCCGAAGGAGTACATCAAGAGATAGACTTGATGACATTGTAGTGTTAACAAAAGATATAAAGGAAGGAGATACTTTAAATGCAATAGCCCTTCAGTACTGTTGTACGGTAAGTTTTAATTTTGCATAATGTAGTCCAAAATAAATTATTTGTTCATTAGTACAAATTAAAATAAATTTTGTGTCTCTTTTTTTCTTTTCCAGTCCTCTTTTATCAAAATCTGTATCATGTTGGTGGATGTTAAGTTTTTAAGTGAATACTTAAAAATTTGTTTATTTCTAAATCTGTGATTCTATTTTCAATATGAAAAATATCCAGATGTGTTACATTTTCAATATGGAAAACATCCAAATGTGTTCTTTCTTCTCCTTTTCAAAAACTAAGAGAGCTGTAAGAGAGAGAGAGTGTGTGTATGGGTATATATGGATGTATTTTTCTGTTGCCCCAATTTCCTAAACATTTCCAAAATGATACATTTTGGTGTGTTTCTTTCTATAACCTTTGATGTATTTATATATGTAAATATTTGGGGAGTTGTATATAAAATTGGTTTATGGTGTGCATATTATGCCGAGTTTCTTTGCCATTTTAATTACTTAGTTTATCACAGATAGCATTTAGAGCCTCAAAGAACTAACTCATTTTTAATGACTATATAATATGCTATAATACTAAGTTTTTCTACTCATGGATACCAAGTTTTTTCAGTGTTTTGAATTATGCAGCAAATATTACAACAATACTTTAAAATATTTCTGTAGAGTAGATTTCTAAAAGTAGAATAGAATTGCTAGATGAAAGGGAAGGCATATTTTTATTTTAATAAATATTAATCTCTGTTTAAACTTGTTATCTGTCATTATGTCCATCTTACATCTTTGTCAAAGACTGCTTTCTTCTAAATGATATGGAACTGTAAATTAGAATACTGGGTTTCAATCTTTTTCTCATACAATAGAATAGAATTTTGAAATGTATATAACCTTTTTACACATGAAATTCACTTCTTAGTTTTAGTATTTAAAATAATTAGAAAGGATATAATTTTCAGAATGTTGTCAATTTTGATATTTTAAAATAAAACTTAGAATACTCTTGAAAATATTTATTGAATTGTAAATAACACCAGGATTTGCTTCCTAAAATCATTTATATGAAAAATATGTACCTCAGATCTTTAAGCATGAAATTTTATATCACTCCTTTTTTCTTTTAATATTTATAGTCTCATAATTTTTTATACTGAAAATGTCTTATTATTTGTCATAGTTTTCTGCAGTATTAACAAAGATTTATAAATTTATATGAGGGACATTTTATATGAGGGACAAGGCTAAAAAGTCAAGGTGGAGATCCAAAAGAATAGTGAGTTTAGTAGTGATTAGAGAAGAACATTTGTTTTCCTTTAGTGAATCTGGAAACTCTTAGAAATTTTAGATAAATGCCATATTGAATGACTCAAACTGGGCATATTTACAAGGAGGAAAAAGGTAAAAAGCATTTTAGGCATGTAATAGTGGGATAGAGAAAATTTCAAGAAGGAAAAAAGTGAATGGAGGAACTGTAATATAATGTATGTATTATAGTGTAATGTATTACATTTCAGAAATGAATGGCTCGTAGCTGTTTGCGGTTAAACACTTTGA